TAAGTTCGACACTAAAATGCTTTGATAAAACTTACTATTTAGCATCAATAAATCCCGTTTTCGACGGGCTTTCATCTGGTATAAAATTCATTACTTACCCTATTCGCAATTATAGCGTTACCCCCCCTGGAAAAACATTTTTACGCACCTTCTAATAATGAAAATAGTATTATAAGTGCACTACAATTTGTTGATACAAAATATATCATATTTCATTTGGATGCTACTGATCTTCGACGATATTTTAAATTGAATAAGAAAAACAAATCACAAATTATCACACAATTAATTGAACAATATCAAAAATTATTATTACTAATTCGTCTAAAATGTCCATGGGCTAAATTTTATCTATCAATGTTATTTTATAATTAAACATCATCCATTTCTGATTATATTTTATCATTTAATAAAGAATCAACAAAATTACTAACATTAAATATGAATACCTATCTATTGAAACATAAAAATATTATGTTATATTATGATCAATGTCTAAAGGGGGATAATCATTTTTAACAACGACAGGAACGTTTATGTTTGAAAAAAATATTCAACAAACTCTAGGTTTAAATCATAGAACAATCAACATTACACGAAGAAAAGCTACTCTGAATATTAACACACCATAAATTTTGACTTTACGACTATCAATTATAATTAATCGAATTAGGAATATCAAGGAAGTTATTTTTACCGTATGTTAGGAATAAATCTAAGCGGAAGAGTATGATAAGTTACTCCAGGGGGTGCAAATATTGTTCGCTAATGTTATATTTTCGTGTACTAAAATGAATCATGGCTGAGCACATACACACCACTAGACATTAAAAAAATGATTATTATGAAAAGCCAAGCATAGTGATTTTAGCACATTTTTTCTATCAATAGCAGTAAAAAAAAAAGGTTTGGTGTTCGAATTTTTAAAAACACTGTTTTAATTTTCAAAAAATAGAACACGAAAACAAAAGAAACAAAATGCACTAAATAGGATAGAAGACTAAATTTTGAAAATGTATTTACAACCGGGCACGTGTTTAACAAAAGAAATAAATCTCACATAATGTTAAAAATTAAGATTATAATTTATTTACTGTAAACAGATGATAAAATGAACATAGAAACTATTTCTTACGTTATCTGTTCTTTAGCAGTAAATTGCAAAAGAAGACATGCATTTTCAGTGAACATGGATGCCGCAAAAAGCAGAATATGCTCAAGCACCAAAGCAGCTCAAGTTTTACGACATAAATTCACCATTTACATGAACGAATAGTTTCTTTTGATGAGAGACCAGACAGTAATGTTTCGGATCTTATTCTAACAGAATGGTTACAAAAAATTTGAGATAGTCCAAGCAAAACTATGTGTGCACTGAAATGCTCGTTCAGTTTTACTCAAAAAATAAACAACAGTATCAATAGAAAAATAAAAAGAGTTTTAGTTAGGAAAAAGAGACAAAAAAAAAGTACATTAAGGTTTATTGTGTCGTCGTCGTTTGTTCATGATATTCTTGGTTATTATTACTAGTTGAATTGTTCAAGTCAATGGTAGTAGCATTATTTGCATTACTCGTAGTATTATTATTCGTCGTACTCGTCATGAGATTATTTTGTGAATTTGACGGATTTGTTGTTGAATGTATCTGATGAGTTTGTGCTGCAGTATTTGTTGTTGTACTCTCATCAATATCCGGCCATGCTTCTGATGATTGTTTCAATCTGTCATCTAATGCTTTAAGAGCTTTTTGTCTTAATAAAAAAAAAGTAGAAAATGTATGAGTACTAAACAACACTCCATGACTTCTTTTCCACATAGAAGAGAATGTACCTTGAACTTGATTTTAGTTTACAAACAAAGCTGACTTTACGAAAAAAAGCTGCTGTAGAAAAGCAGAAAAAGTAAAAAATACTTATACACACTGCTACCTGGAGTAACAACGCCACAAGAGAGAGAATACACGCTTATATCTATAGATACACTCTTACAGAATAGAGTACAGAAATAAAAAAGAAACAAACCCACAGAAAACGTTTTAAATTTGTAAATGATTTTTCAGCGTCACTTTGAACTGACCTAGAGTACCGTACCGCAACAACCGTTTCTGGTAAGGCGTTCCAATAGTCGACAGTCTGATAGAAAAAAGCTGACGCTACCCGTTTTTTTATAAGATTCAGTGGTGCGACTGGCTTCGTGTTTGCCCTTACGTGTTTTAAAACCGTACTTGTATTCAGACACTCTGGTCGACTGTCCGTCAATGGTGTTATAAGGAGCGGATTAAAAACTGAAAGCGGCGATAACTTGTTCATTACTTTGTAGAAATGAATCAAACGAAAACATTTTCTTCTCAACGACAAATCAGGGAGCTTTAGTTTTTGAATTAACTCTGACACCGATCCGTCGAAGTTTTTGAAACTCATTCTTGCGGCTAATTTCAAAATTTTGTCAAGAGTTTTGGCTAACTATTGCTATCGTAGACGAGACAACAGTAATCGAGTTTACTAAGAATACAAGCTCGAAAAACAGATAATCGGGTGCTAACTGGAACTGCCTTGAAAGTACGAAACATTGCTTCAAGCCGCCTTCTGCATCCGAGGACTAACTCGTCAACATGCTCTCTTCACGTGAGATCGTTGCTTAAGCGCACACCAAGTAAAACCACTGCTTTTTCTCGCTTCATAACTGTCCCGTTTACCTTCAAAGAAATGTTATAAGCAACAGATGCACTAGGATTTGTAAAATAAATTCATGAGTATTTTGCGCAATTTAATGTCATGAGATTCTCTGAACACCACTCTTGCACTTGGTCAATAAAAGATTGACAAGTCGAAGTAGCGCAAGTAGCCGTAATCGGACACAACAATGAGCAGTCATCTGCATACAAAACAGACAGAGAAGGCAACTCGGTTACTAGACTCATATCGGTAATAAATATTAGAAACAACAAAGGTCCCAAGATGGAGCCTTGGGGGGACTTCAGAAGGCACCTCTGTCGTTTCTGAATGTTGGACATTGTCTCCTATGTGAAATTGTTTTTTGATAGAAACTAAAACATATCGAGATATGTCATCATTTTTGAAGAAATACAGTCACGTACACTTCTGCTACGTATTTTCTTTATACAGAATTCATTTTCTTCGAATAATCCGTTTACCTTCTACGATCAGCATCTGCTGCTTCAGCTCCTGGAATTGTGATTGTGATCGACGATGGTGCAGCAACATTATATTTTTTCACAAATGGTTTACAGATTTTAATACGAACAAATAATTCAAAAACCGTATTTGCCAACACACTAATAACGGGCTGAATCGGTGGTGGGAAAAAGCTGAAATAAAGACAATTTGACAGAAGTTGAAAGATCATGAGGTAGATAAAATATTTCTCTTACCTTGCAAATGAAAATGTATTTGATTGATCACCCCTCGAACCATTTTTATGTAATTGGAAAAATCTTAAATATGTCCAGCTAATAAATATGCCAAACGAGAGCATAATGAGAAAATGAACGGGTACAGCATTGATGACATATAATAGTGTTGATATAAGAATAATCAATAATGGAACATGATCTTGTTTAAGTTTTATAAATGGTGTTGAGATAATAACAGTGTCAGGCATAATTTGTTTGATAACAACACAATATGCTCCAATAAATGACGCGAGACCATAAATTGGTCGTTCAAATAAATATTCGTCATTGAATGTAAACATATAAATCATGAAGTAAATGCAGGTGGCAAAAATGGCATTGGGTATTGTCACAAGAAAATAGAATGAGAGTAACTCTTTTGTTCCCCATAGTGGTTCAATCATTTTACTGTATAAAAATACCACAATAACATCAATACATGTATGCCATATATGTAATTCTGAAAAGAAATGAATAACATCTCAATGCGAAATTTTACACAAAAGCAAATGTCTCTTACACAAACATCTCTTACCAATAAATGAATGGGTTAAAAGTGTCCATATCCAAAAATTGGGTGGCATTATTTTCCCTGGAATAACTGCTAATACATGAACACATTGTGAACTAAATGATAGTAAATAACCTATTATGCATAAAAAGCAAATGATTTTTGTTGCTAAACCACTGGAAAATATAGCCGTGGATAATTGACGACTTATGTCATTGACAAACGTCTGTTTCATTCTACACTTCTAAAGATACAAAATAAATGGTTACAAATCATGACACAAAAACTCATCGATTTCGTTACCTTTTCCTAAGCTACAGTAAATGTTAATTACTAAAAAGTTATCATAACTATGTGGAGGATTCCATTTAAAATCTAGAACAAAACACGTTACTTAACTGAGTGCTAAATTTCTAGAAAATACTTTTAGAATCTACTTAGGTCTTTTGAAATGTGAAAATAAGCAAATAAAAGTATATTCAATATCTTGAATCAGCTTATCAAGCTATTATACAAATAGTTAATAATATTCTACAAAAACTCGGTGCTCTATAACTGAAGTATCGAGACAATCGACTATATTTATCTCTTCAATGGATCGTGTATAATGCAAACACTTTTAACTATTCGCTACAACACACTTGTTATCTACCTCTTTCAATATTAAGGATCCTTACTCATCTTTGGTACGTTGTATCCAATTCAGCTGAAGATTTCATGAAATCAAGGTCAATGCATAAGACAACGTTCACATGCATATCTCATCTCAACGTGGCCTGTTATAGTATAAAAATTCACTAGTGCGTAAAAGCTTTCGAAATTGAAACACGTACAAAGAACCAAATTTAAATGAGATAAGATGTGCAAATGAACGTAGCTTTATTGATTGATAGTAGTATTGAAAACGTCTTCAAGAAAATATGCTGTATGTGTATTGACTCTGTCAAGTATATATGAGGATGCATGTCACATGGCGCGAAGTTGTGTTACATTCCACTTTGACGAGAACAGTTTTCTTTGAAGATGTGCCTATATGAAAGAAATTAAACTGAAAGAGTGTTGAAAAATACGTTGGTTTTCAAAGATCCTTTTTTGAAACTTTTAGAGAACTTTGTCGAAAACTCAAGAGATTAATTTTAAGGCGAAAAGTGATTCATCATTCTGAGAAAAGATACTTTGAGTGATAAAGCCATAAGCATAACTCGATACTCAACCTTTGAAGAGAATTGTCATTTGAAGGAGACCTCATACTAACAAGAAAAGTGATCAGTTAATACTTTCGAAAATACGGGATTTTGATGCGTGATTCTTATTCTTATTTATATTATTTATGTGTCACAGTTTACGCATTCCATTACAAAAAGTATTATATATATCAAACAAAAATAAAAACTGTATTTATTTTCATATATGTTGACTAGTGGGTAAGCCAGTATTTTTATTGGTTATGGTTAGTTAAATTAGCAAATAAGACAGTGACCATGAACCGCTATTGTCGTATGAAACCAACAAATGAAAGAAGTAATCTTATGATAAATATCAGAGAAACAATTATATTGTAACATTTGAGTATGTGTTTATATTTAATTATCTGTTTTCTGTGACACACATGGCGACCTCAGCTGGTGGGGATCTGCACAAATTGAGAAAATTGAGCGGGAACCCGACTAGTCGTTGGAATTGTAGGTCTCTAACCACCTTCGATACTTCTATAGATATGATTTTTTCCTCATTTATTTCTGAGAAAAAAATTATAGTAGTGATTTGAATAGATGTACTGACTCTGCATCTATTCAAATCACTACGGTGTATCACTAAGTGTATTTTCAAAAGCCAGTGTTCAAATTTATTCTGAATGAATAATTATTGATTAGAATTCTTTTGCAGCGTATTTAAGGCAAGGAAAAACTGCCGAAAAAAACGTCTAAGGTCTTAGCAACAGCATTAGATCATGAGTTAGAAATCTGTTTAAAATCATTGTTATCATACACTGAAATTTATAATTATTTCTTATCAACGCCAGAACTGCTTAATTTTATTCATTCTAATCAAAATCTATAGTCAAAAAACAACGGCTGTCAATTAAAATCGAGATTTGGCAAAGTGCTAGAGAAAACGTTTTTTGACTATCTGCGCGTGAAAAAGGATGAAGTTAGACCATGAAAATACGTTTCCTTTTTTTTCGCATTTTGGAATTTTTATTCCACATTTTTGACCTGAGCATCTGACTACTCTGGTCATGGCTAATATTTTTTGAAAAAAATAAAATTCCATCGTGATCGCGATGTGACAAAACGAATCTATAGCGATCTCGACGTTTCTGCACGACTTTTCGTGATCGCAGCGTGAAAGTTGACTTGGTCTTTTTAATTCCTGAATCGGACGATACATTTTAATAAAGTCTGACTCCCTGGTAAAATTGTATAGTTGATTCAGCTTTTCAGGTTGAACTAGTTGTCGGCTAGTGGTAATCTAGCTTGAAAAACTACAAGACAATAGAGCCCTGGAGGTCACGCATAACCTGTCCTATTCTGTCCTGTCCTGGCAGGTTAGGACAAGTTTAGGTTACGACTTCGCAGTTTAGGATAGGTTATAGGTTACGAAAATTTTTACAGGACAGGTTACAGGTTATACTACCGGTACCCTGTTCTCAACCTGTAAAAAAAATATTAAGCGCTATCTGTAAAGGGAAAGAAATAAGAACTCGAAAAATAGTTTTTAGTCAAAAATAATATTTAGTGCATCAGGAAGAGTACTGGAAACAGGAAGACAGTCGTTGAATCCAGATATTGTTGACGATATATTATTGATCAGGAAGTTCAGAGATGTGTGATCTTTTGTTGTTGTTTTTTGCTGCATAAATAAAGTAAATAAAAAGAATTTACTTTATTAGGAAAAATTTTCGAACTTGGGTACTCATTTTTGCAGTCATTTTTTCGCAGGACGGGCAGAACAGATTACGCAAAAAATATTGCGGGTTAGAATGGGTTACAGGTTACGAGGTATAAGGTTATGAAAGGTTATAGATTGTTAAAGTTTTTACAGGACAGGTTATAGGTTATAAAAAAGTTTTAATCTGCAGGGCTCTACAGGACAACTTTCTGCAAGAAAAATCTATATAAAATCTACATCAGATCTACAATCGAAACTTGCAGCTTCACTGCAGAATGTTGACAAGATTTGTAGCAGAAAATTTTTCCGAATACAGGTAAAATTTGCACAGAAATTCGCAAATTAGAAATTGAAATCTGTTCAGATCTGTTAAAAAAATTCATAGACTATGTATTATATACAATTACTGTGTAATAAAGAGGAATATCACATTTCTTTTTCTGAATATATAATTTTTCTTTTTGTCGCGTTGCACTTAATCATCACTTTGTTTTTACTAAAGTAACGTTCTTTCTTTTATCTTAACAAAGTTAAGGTATGAGTAGTTTATACTTTTATAGAAAGAAAAGAATAGACAATATCTGTACACGATGGGAAGTAAAATATAGAAGAGAAAAGCATAGAAATTTTGTTCTTTTCAGGCTGCTCTGACTAAACTATTTCATCTTTGTTCATACATGAGAGTGGACTATCCATAATAAGAGTATAAGATGAATATCACCGGATTATTCTATATCTTATAAATAAATTATTAGCATCAAATCAGTTTTAAGAAAATGTCGCAAACGTCACATCAATTTCAACCAAGTAAACCACTGGATACGATACTAAAAGGTGGAAGAAAATTGCAAGAAAAGTCAAGATATATGACTAGTAAACCTGTTTCAACAGAACGTCAAGACTTCAGTGATGAGTCGGATGATGAAAAACCAAGTATCACAATAAGGGCAGTAAAAAATGAAAAGAGCACAGGCAAAGGAGAACAACGAGAGAAGAAATTGGATGTGATGGCTTATTTTATACCACTCGAGACGGGTGGTTACCAATGCAGATTATGCTCAAAAGTAAATTTTGAGCTACTTATTCTAAGATACGATTTCGGATTTATTTGCATATATTTGTTTCTTTTTAGTTTCTCAAATGTGATAAATCATCGGACACAAATTTACGTAAACATCTTGGTACATTTGAAAAAATGCCACAATTTCTTTATCCCTCTCAACGAAAACAACATAAAACAGGAAAATTAGCACGAATAACAACTAAACGAAAACTTGAATTAGACAGTGCACTATTCGAATGTATTCTATTAGATGGTCGATCATATAATGATTTTAATAAAAAGGGCATGCAGTATTTCTTGAAAACTGCTTTACCCGGCTATACACCACCGACAGGTGTAATGATTCAACGGCGTCTTGGATTATTATATCGTGAACATAGTAAACAATTACGTCGATTTTTATCTACGGTCGCTGAGAGCTGATATTAAACTTTCGAAGGGTAGACTTGTTTCAAAAATGTGAAAAATACTTTGCGTTATAGTGCGGTATAAGTCCAAAACACTAAGCATTATTTTTGAACTATAATATGTACCGGGACGTTAAGGAGATAGAAACCACGCTTTTATTTTCGAGTTAAGGTTATTGATTCCAGCGACATATTGTTAACTTCTAAACTTCAAAGAATAGAATATTAATCCCACTATATCTCAAATGTTAAAAACAAATTTATTGATCCAATTCTCGTTTTGAGCCTTTTGTATTTCATTGAAATCTCAATGTAGGTCACGGGTTATTTCAATTTTATTTAATAGTAAACAAAATCCTCTTTCACCCTCTTGCTGCCGTCCTAATGAATCTGTTTATTTTCGTTAAAAAACATCTTTGGTTAGTAAAATTAATGTTTGTCGAAAGTCTCTAAAAACGACACATTATCGCAATTGTCATAATGTCGGTTCAAATGAAAATGCATGCGGATGAAACATCGAGTACTAATCAATCGACTTTTATTTCACTGAAGAAACAGCTATCATATCATCGATGGTAAACTGGGTATGAATGGGGTTTTGAAGTACCTAGTGGTGTTACTAATAGCAAGTTTGGTGCTGATCGTTCTACGCTTATCGGATATATGGATGAAACGTGAAGCGATGGAAAACTCGGATAGTTATATTTGATTTAACAGATCTTTAATCTATCGGCGACTCGTTACTTTGTTGTTGAGTTGACGAACTGTTAGTAAGATGTGAATGATGATTTCGACATACGTGAAAAAGTCAATTTGGGTTAGCTGTGTCTTGGAGCGGAGTCGCAAGCCTTTATAGTGTACCATTGGACAACTGACATAGATACCTACGAGTCGAGACAATGGTTATAATGCTCTTCAAATCATATTGTATTCTCAACATCGTTGTTGTTTCTCGAGCATCCGGCACATCAATTTAATTTAACATCGAAGAAGGATGGACCTTACTCGTCAGAAGATAGAATAACATCAAAGTATAACTACACTTTTGATTTCTTTTCACCATTTAATATGCGAATGATTGGTGTTGTTCATGCTGCATCGTGTCCTGTATGAACTTCTTGTATTGCCAGCGATTTTCGTAGTATGGATGATAGGTAACTAAGGGAGCGCTTCAAAATCTATTCCGAGCGGTCGATCATTACTCTACTCTTCCTCTATTTCGGTACTATTCCGGTGAGTCGTTATTCCTCGATTGCGTTCACGTGGTTGGTATAGTTAAAATACAATATAATTTCGAGCTATTTTATATGAAACTGCGTTGTTGTGTAATCGCACAAATGTATAACGTGTGAAGTCATTTTTTCTTTACAAATGATGAGTCGATAGGTAGAAAAGCAATATCTCTAGATTTTAGAATGTATCAGCATTTGGAACGAAATATTATCTTTCTAGCCTTTTCAGAGAATGTTTACTGGGAGGTTTGAGTGTGATAGATTGACAGCTACTCACGCTGTGCATATATACCTCCATAAAAATGGTTGATGAGTAAAATGAACATAACGAAATTTTAGGAGAAAATTTTTCTCTTTTTCCGTGACGGGGCAGGTAAATAGCCAGGTCTATCATAGAGGTGAAATCTCTCATTCTATAATTGTCAAACTGAGATCGAAAACGTTTCGCTTTCTTTGCCTCCAACAATCTCATCAAAAATGCTTCTTCTTCGTGATTGATATCACCGCTGATTAATAATGTAATACATGAGATAGATTAAAGTAAAAAACAAAAATACAGAGACTACGCAGTAAAAAATATTGTATCACATTTTGTGTCGCAGTAAAATGTGTCGCAGCTCCTGTGAGAAAATTGTGTCGTAAAAGAATGTGTCGCATAATTGTGTTGCCGTTACTAAGAACTTTCAGACACAGTTCTTGAGGTCATTTCAGGATCTACTCTCTTCAAAAAATTGCTAAATTTTATGTTTACTATTTTCAACAGTCGTCATTAGTATTTTTCTCGGCTTCTTTTCAATTTCGATGTGCTATAGGTGGCAATAATGCGTAAAAGATAAGAAAATTTGCGAACTTTTTAAGTGTTTTCAATTTCGAATTGGTGTTTTTAGTGGATAAAGATCCCTCTCTTGGTCTTTTTTAACTATTTTCTACGTTAAACATTTTTTCTCTAATGAAAAAGAACCAATCAGAGGC